TCTGTATGTGGGATCCGAACCCTCGGGCGGGAGTGCCGCCGTGCTTCCCAAGCGGCGCACTCATCCAGTGCGCTACTGGGCCGGCCCCCTAATTCAATCTTTTCTAATTCTGGTTTAATTTATTTTTTATTTTTTAATTTTTGTCTTTTATCTTTTTCCGTGTCCAGCAACGGATCGCAACCCTCAGTGTTGCCCCCGTACCGGACCAGGGACCGGCAACGGGATCGCAACCCACGGCGCTGCTCCCGCACCCCGCTCAGCCAGTGAGCGGGAACCGGTCCATATGTGGGATCCGAACCCTCGGGCGGGAGTGCCGCCGTGCTTCCCAAGTGGCGCACTATCCAGTGCGCCACCGGGCCGGCCCAAATTCTGGTTTAATTTATATTGTTCAGGAATTAGCTTCTCTCCTCCAAACACTGAAAGAATTCCCTAGTAAAACAGTATGGGCCAATGCCCTTCAGGGAGGTACTGCTTTGCTCAGCTGTAAAAGTATCCTTGTAAATGCAAATTTCTTTTATACCCACTGTTGCTATTTCTAATTTTGTTAGTGTTTTGTTTTCTGTTTTCCTCCCCCTGTGGTTAGAACTGCCAGGTTTGTTTCCTTCTTTTCGAAGAACTAGGTTGTACTTTGCTAAGAACAAAAATCCCTAACTGTGGATGGATAACCTACCTAGAGTCCTTTTCATTCTCCGCGTTGAGGCGATTAGCTTCCTGGGCTTTCTCAGCCATCCACCTGGTGACCAGCTCTTGGTTCTCTTCAGCAGTTTTCCTCAGTTTCTCCTCCAAGGCAGTAAAAGTGATCTGCAGGGCATCATATTCATCCTTCAAGGTCTGGTTGGCTCTTTCAAGGTCCTGAAGCTTACTGCGCAGTTCTAGGCACTCTGTCTCCAGGTCTGAGATAGTCTGCAAACATTCTGCAATTCTGAAAGCACAATATTACAGGAGGAATGGTACCTTGCCAGAGGGACCCCTGGCTGGGTGCAATGACAAGAACACAGGCTGTCACCCCAGACCTGTGGCAAACATTTCATGTCTACTGCATCTCTTAGCCAGGCCCAGCCCATCCTTTACAGGAAAATCCTATTAGGAGAAGGAACACCTTGGGTAAAAGTCATCCTGACTATGAATAACTAGTAAAAGTACCTTTCAGAAAAGCAGGATTTAAAGGAAGAGGGAGCTTTTGCTGCTTAAATAGAGTAGTAAAGGGGACTTAAGAAGGATGGAGTCCTACATATTTTACCAGCTCTAATATTCCCTAAGCAAGAATGCCTGAGCAAGTCCCTGGCCTTTCAAAGCCTCTACATCCCTCTGCACTCAAATTCTCCTGCAGCTCTAAGGTGCTAGGATTTGGAGTTCCCCTTTATTTCTTCAGCCAGGCTTCTCCCTGATCGACAGTCCCGCTCTCAAAGTCATCCCCCTGTTCCCAAAGGCCACACACTCAGATATCTTGCCCCATTCTCTAACACAGGAAGCTACCAGCTCCCATATACAGTGGCCGTGGGAGAACTGTAAAATGTCTCTGGGACATTTGCAAGGGCCAAGGTGACTTCTCCAGGAGGATGCTGGGAGGCAGAGGGCACTGTCTGTGCTTTTTCCTTTTCTTAGAGCTAGTAGAAAAGGCCTATGCATGCACAGAAATAAACTCTGAGTGCAGTGTGGCTACTGTTTGCCACTGGCCCCACAAACAAAGGATGTGTGATCCAATGACGGGCCTCCAGGAGGAATGGTCTCTACTCACTTTGCTTCATTCATTTGCATCTCCCGGTCCTTCTGCTGCATTTGGTTATTCAGGTCAATCACCAACTGAGCTAACTGGGAGACAAAGAACACTTTCATGAACATGAGATTTCAGGACCTTACTTGGAAACTACATAGTGCATGGCCATTTATTTTTAAGAAAGAAAAGGTGATTATGGGATTGGGCAAAGATTCTAAGAATAAAGGAGCTGGGTGGCAGTGAGAAGCAGAAAGTCCAGTGCGGATGTGCATGGGAGCTGTCTGTGTGGCAACCTGTTGAAGGAAGGTCTGGATGGATAAGAAATGTTCCAGGTGATCGCCAAGTACTTGCTGAGGACACCTGTCTATCCCTCAGCCTCAGCTACCTTTGTGAAGGCTCCTTTCTGCTGGAGAAATGATCAATTCAGCTGAATTAATGGTAAACTGTATTTTCTCAGCTGGAGCTTTGCCACAAGACCACTATCCAGGGTAAATACAGACTGGAACTTGATTCTTTCTAATGATGTTTCTGAAATTTCAGGCCTCGCACTCCAAAGCTTCTGAAGGCATTAGTAAGACCTTCAGTGGAGCAAGCAGCAAGCCTTTTTGTTCTTTAAAGCATCTCCACTTGCATCTCTTGGGCCATTTTTTGGAGCCCAGTAACTGGGTGGTTCTCTCACTGGTTCATCCTCTTGCTAGGCCTCATTTTGTATGGCATTTTCAGTTTCCCCCACCCTTTCATTCCTGCAGAGAGCACTTGTGATGCCAAATTGAGCCAAGAATACAGCAAATTCTAGTGGGAAGTGACAGAGTTCTCATCTCCTCCCTGCTGGCCCCTCACAGAGAGCAGAAGACAGAGGAGGAAAGGCACTGTCTCTACCTCCCCACGCTTCTTGTGTAATTCGGTCAGTTCTTCTTGGTGTTTAATCCTCAGCTGGGCCATTTCTTGTAGCTGACTATCATTCCATGTGCCATCATGTCCGGGACTAAATCCCCAAACCAGGCAGGTGAAGAGAACATGCAAAAAAGGAAGGAGAAAAGAAATCAGACTTCAAACCTCTCCTATTAGGCAGGGGAATAAGAACTTCAGAATTTCAAACCCGTACATGTCAATAAATCATTTTAGTGTCTTCAGCAACTGCAGTTACAAACCGCCACAAGTAGGAGATGTAAGACACACAGTAAACTAAACCCAGCACAACCATAACCATATCACGTCAGGAATGAAGGATGGTTCCCAGACGAAGTGTAGGTGAATACAGAAGAGCAGTGAGGCCTGCTCCCTAGGCAAGCATCTGAGTGCCAATACTGCCACAGGCACTGTCCCTGGTGCTGGGGAGAAGGCAGTGAGAACAAGCTCTACTCTTTTTTTTTTTTTTTTTTCAAAAAGTTTCAGCAACTGCAGTTACAAACCGCCACAAGTAGGAGATGTAAGACACACAGTAAACTAAACCCAGCACAACCATAACCATATCACGTCAGGAATGAAGGATGGTTCCCAGACGAAGTGTAGGTGAATACAGAAGAGCAGTGAGGCCTGCTCCCTAGGCAAGCATCTGAGTGCCAATACTGCCACAGGCACTGTCCCTGGTGCTGGGGAGAAGGCAGTGAGAACAAGCTCTACTCTTTTTTTTTTTTTTTTTCAAAAAGGTGACCGGTAAGGGGATCTTAACCCTTGACTTGGTGTTGTCAGCACCACGCTCACCCAGTGAGCTAACCGGCCATCCCTATATGGGATCCAAACCCGTGGCCTTGGTGTTATCAGCACCGCACTCTCCTGAGTGAGCCACGGGCCGGCCCAAAACAAGCTCTACTCTAAGATGAACGATAAACAAGTAAATGTGTGAAGTTGGGACTTACATGTACTACAAAGAAAATTCAAGCAGGGGAAGGAAGGGAACAGAGTGACAGGGATTCTGTTTTTTTTCCTTTTTCTTTTTTTTGGCAGCTGGCTGGGACGGGGATCTGAACCTTGGTGTTGTAAAGCTGTGCTCTAACTGAGCTAACTGGTCAGCCCCCCCTTTTTTTCTTTCTACTGTGCTACCTGCTTCAGTGCCAGCAGCCTATGGGCACAGAGGCCAGGCAATAGTTCAGGGCCACAGTTTGCTCTAGCATGGGGCACTATGAGAGGCCCAGGGGGACGGGCCCATCATAAATCCAAACCCATGCATAGGGGTTCTGTTTTACGCAGGGCTATCAAGGGTTGCCCCGAGAAGGTGTCACACGACTGAAGACTGAAAAGTGAGGAACAAACACTGTGGAGCCTTGAAGGAAGGGTCCTTTGAGGAGAGGGAGCAGCCAGCAGTGGGCCTGCAGGAGGCACATGGTTGGGGTATTTGGGGGAGAGGGTGACTGGAGCCCAGATGCAGGGGAAAGGAGGAGATGCAGTCAAGGAGGTGAGGAAATCATACAGAGCTTTGTGGGTCCCTCTGAGGGCTATGGCATTTATTAGGCACAAATGGAAAGTCACTGGAGGGTTCTGAGCAGACAATGACTGATGTTTTAAAAGGATGGCTGTGGTTGCTGGGTGGAAAGTAGATTGCAGGGGGAAGCGCAGAAAGAGAGAGAGCAGCCAGCAGGCTACTGCGTAATCCACACAGGAGATGGTGGGGCAAGCGGAGGTGGTGAGATCTGGTTGGATTCTAGATCCATTCTGCAGCGAGTCTTCAGGACTTGCTTTAGAATTGAATGTGGCGTGTGAAAGACAGACAGGATTCAAGGATGACTCAAGAATTCTGGCCTGAGCAACTGGTAAAAGGCAGGTGTCACCTACTAAGATGGGCACGACTGTGGGAGGAGTAGGTTTTGGGGGAGAGGCCTGAAGAGCAGCTGTGGACATTCCAGTACATATGTCAAGTTGAACTTCAAAGAGACGTCCAAGCTGGAGACTTACACGTAGAAGCTGTCAGCAAATAGAAGTACCCGAAGTCACAAGAGCAAATTCAGATCACCTCAAGAGTCAGTGTTTCCATAATATCTCAGAAACAGCAGTAGATGAAAAGAACTGTGGACTTATAGTTCAGGAGAAGGATCTTGGCTGGAGCTACAGAAGAGAATTATGAGACTATAGTGAGCAGCTGAAACCATCGTCCAGGGAAAGCTTGTAGATGGAGAAGGCTAGACACTGGGTACGGACATCTGAAGGGAGGGGTAGAACTGCCTACTCCATATGACCTATAATAAAATAAAAAGAGGAGGGAAAAGGGACAGTATAATAGTTCCTCCTAATTTTACTCTCCATTTCTACATACATTTTCATTACATATCTAAGCACAAGCTAATACTTCATCCTGAGGTAACCTGGCACTTCCCCAAACTTAGCCCATCTAGTAGCAGCCAAGAGATTAGAAAGCAGAATACACTTTACATTAAACCCTTCTAAATTAGGCAGAATGATTAGAGAATATTGTTAAATAAAATTTTACAAGGCCATTGTTTTGGACTAAGTTCCTGCTCTAGACCCCAACAGACTAGACTAAAAACCAAAACAGAGTCACTCCTGCTAAGTTCCATGTCACTTAGATTGTGGTCTGACCCTCCCAGAAATCGGTAGGAAGAGATAACAGCCAATTTCCCCCAATAGGCTAGTTTAAATTTTTAATAGATATGATAATGAAGTTCACTCTGCTTTAATCCTTTCACACAAGCGACAGCCTAAAGTAACCTGATGTTAACTAGTCAGTTATTTTTCTCTGGATTGTCTTCCTGTCCCCATCTTACAAGGAAAGTAACTTTGAAATGACCAATCCACTTTTTGTTCTTTGTTTCTGCTATAAAATCAACCTCCTCTGCTGGGCTCACTGGAGTACTTACTCTATTTTATAAAATCACAATAAGACAATTGAGATCTTTAAATAAATAAGTGTGTTGGAATTTTGTTCTTTGATAAATCCTTATCAAGTCCCTTTATTTTAATGCAAGGCATTGCGGAATATGTAAAGTGTAAGATGTAGTCCCTCCTTCCAAGGAGCTGGTATTCTGCAGAAAAGATTCATGAAACAGAAGCTATCAATATAAAGAAAAACAAAAACATATTAAGGAAGAGGAAGACATGAAGTGTTATTTACGTTCAGAGACAGATTTCCCTGGGCAGGATGGTTTAGTTTGAGAGGATTTCAGAAGAGGAAATGGAGTAGGATGTCCTAGGAAGAGTGGAACGTAGAAGAGATCTGGCAGAGGGACCTAGCACTAAGACACTTAAACCTCAAAGTACACAAGACACAGAATTCAATAGAATTGCTAGGAGACTAAGGCAAGAAGGACACAGGTCATTCCACTGAGCCTCCAAGGACTTCCTATTTTACTCACAATAAAAGTCAAAAGCCTTGGGCCGGCCCGTGGCTCACTCGGGAGAGTGTGGTGCTGATAACACCGAGGGCAAAACAAACCACCTAAACAAAGCCACAGAAAACCCAGGAAGTCTGGGGCTTAAAAAAAAAAAAAAAAAAAGTCAAAAGCCTTAAGTTAGCCCACTAACAGTGCTTCAGCAAGCAGAAAAAAGAATCACCAAGAGGGCATATTTAAGCACAGGTTCCCAGGCCCCATCAGCAGGTGATCAGCCTTCCTAGCAAGGCCCAGCAACCTGCATTTCCAACAAATTCTCAGGTGACGGGAATGCTGCTGGTTCACAGGGACTATGAATAGCCATGAAATTCCTGGTGTTCCAACTTTAAAGGTTGTCAGAATCATCTAAAGGGTTTCTTAAAACACATATTGCTGGGTCTCACCCCCAGAGTTTCTGATTCAGTGTTTATAACACCAACATCAAGGGTTCAGATCCCCAAATCGGCCAGCCACCAAAAAAAAAAAGAGGAAAAGAAAAGAAAACTACTGGAATAAACTATTTCCAGGCTGAAGAGTTTGACTTTAATCTATAGGCAAAGTGATGAAAACACTTAAGAGGGGAGTCTGATAATTGCCACAGATAGTCATTTAAGCACAATGTGCAGTGTTTTAAAGTTAATTAGGATAAGATGCACAGGACCAAAGGAGAGACAGGAGGAAGGGGAAGGAAACCAGTTAGGTGCCCATTCTCTGTGAATGACCCTTTGACTTGGGTCTCCCTCACTACCCCTCCGGCTCCTCCCCAGGGCTGGGACTCTGGCTCACTCATCTCTGCATCCCCAATGCCAGTCCACACTGCAGTTCCAGAAGTCTACTGGATGAACAGACTCCTGCCACAGCCCAGGAATGAGAAGACAGATAGTAAATAAAGAGGGTGGGAAAATAAATGTAAACCAAAGGATGGATCCAAGAGATTGTGGGGTGAAGAACCAACAGGACTGGGTAACTGAATGGATATGGGGAGCGGCAGTATACTGAGGGAAAAAGGAACCATAGATGACTCATGGAAAATGAAGATACCATTAGTAGAAATAAGGCAGTTAGGAGGACAGGCTTATTATGGACAATGCTTGCGGGAAAGAAAAGACCTCCTATAAAATGACTGTCCCAATGAAATTCAGCCAAAAGAATTGCAGTGTATGTATTTACAGTTACCTTCTCAAGCAAATGAGTTTGGTTGATAGAAGGCAGTTAGGAGGACAGGCTTATTATGGACAATGCTTGCGGGAAAGAAAAGACCTCCTATAAAATGACTGTCCCAATGAAATTCAGTCAAAAGAATTGCAGTGTATGTATTTACAGTTACCTTCTCAAGCAAATGAGTTTGGTTGATAGACAAAGGATACAGGAATATAGTCATCAAGAGTCTAAACAGAAATAAAATGTTTTAAGTTTTTAATGGACTGAATTTAGATGAAAAAGGTGAAATTATCTACACCTAAAATTAACCAGAACACTGTGGCTAATATCTTAAATACTCCAGAAAGCCTCCTGGGGCCACAGCCAGGCTGGATCTACTGAATTGTTAGTAAGTAAGAATGGAACCTAGGCCAGGCCAAGCCATCTGTTCTTTAGGATCTTTCCTACTATCTCCTAGCAGGAGACTATCTTGTCAGAAGAGGAAACATGGATGGCAGGCAGTTATACAATAGATTTAGCTACAGGAGTAAATAAATCAAGCTATATATACCATTTCTGGGTTTTTTTTTGGGGGGGGGTTTGGTTAAAATTAAATTGCCTACCTTGACTTTACAATGGCTAAATGTTAACCAAAAATTGTGCAAAAATTGTGTAGATTTTGGCGTAATAATGGGTGCTGTTCCCATACAAATCAACAAACGTAATATGCAAACATGGTGAACATTATGTTAAAAAGAGAACAGGGCTCTAGAATAAGCCCATTTAAGCTGCTTTGATAAAGTATGGCTTTCAGATGTTTTTTTGACCATGACCTCCAGTAAGAAATGCAGTAAGCAGGGCTGGTCAGTTAGCTCACTTAGTTAGAACATGGTGCTGATAATACCAAGGTCAAGGGTTTAGGCCCCTGTACTACCACTCCCCCTCAGAAAGAAACACAGTAAACATATATAAATGTACACAAAAGTACATTCAACACATCAAACATCCCATCACGAACACGCATGTGTATTTAATGAAACAGTATTTACCCTTCCTACTAAAACACACTGGTATTTTCTAATCTAGTTCTTAAAAGGAAAGTAAAAGCTTGTTGCAACCTACTAGGTTGATTGTGAAACAATCAACTAATTTGTTGTAAAACGGGCTACAAAGATCAAATAGACCCATACTGTACAAAAAGCAATTTGTGTTTATATACCAGTCAATCCTGTATTAACAAAATCTATGTAAGTCAGCTCGGGAATACTTACTTGATTTTGAATATTTACAATAAGTGAACCCTGGTAGAAGAGAAATTGACCTAGGGTTAGCACATGAACCTGCCTCAAGAAATTTCTCAAGCTGAAAGCCCTCTACTAATGATAAGCCTTCCAGGTATGCATGTACCATTTTAAAAAGTTTTAGTTACTTGGTTTTAGCAGTTCTTATTTGAAAGGAACTGACAAAAACTGGAGCACAGAAATAGTACTTGGTTTGCTTCTAAATTACAGAAGTGACAACTGAGACAAATTTTAATAAAGGAAACACAAATAATATAGGTTAGTTTCAAAATACCTTATCTCATGCCGGTTTGATATGTCATGTTTTTCAGCTTGTAATTTCTGGGCCAACACTGAATGAAGATCTGACTTTTCCAGCAACTTGTTATCTATAAAAAGTGGTCAGAAATTAAGTTATTTATTATAACATATGTCCACTTTATATCTTATAGAGCCTGGACCAAAAAAATAACCAGAAAATAAGGTGGGTAGGTTTCACCTTTATTAGATATCAAAGTACAAAGTCCTGTACTTTGTTGAAATCGTATGAAATCCAGGAACATTCCTTAGATGCTTCTTGGCCTAAGCTTGGGCAGCCCAGCCACAGGAACCTGTGTAAACAAACCTGCAAGAATATACCCCTACTAAAAGAAACTGAAATTGCTTTCTACCCCTAATGTTATATTTCTACCTTGGGAGTAAAAATTTTAAAGAAACACACCAAATGCAATGGCAAAGTGCTATGCATCTTTTAGTAATAACAAGAGAACTTTACCATAACCTGGTAAATTTAAGTACTTTTTAGATCAGGTCACTATGAATACAAATACAAATGGGAATCCCCAACATGAAGGAGTTCAAATCCATGCAGTTAACTATAAAAAGCTACAGATAAGCATGACTCTCTACTTCTTTTCATGAATGGTTTCATAGGTGGTAACATCTGTTAGGTCTAAAGGAAGATGACAGTCCAGGCAGAAGGAATAGCATAAAGTTGTCTGATAAGTGGCTGGAAATAAAGGTTGAAGCCAACACGCATAAGAGCAGAATGAGAAATTTAGCCTTTTTCTTACTGGAAACGATGAAATAAGAGATTGTAAAAGCAGGTAGTGACATGAATAGATTTGTATTGGTAAGAAGTCAAAGATTATTCTAAGATTCCGTGCTCCAGGAACTGTGTGGAAGATGCTAATATGTCAGAAAACACAGGAGGGAAGAGCCTGGGGAAGAAAATGAGCTCGCTCTCTCTGAACATAATATATTTGAGGGGGACATAGTGCAGGAATTAAAAAGAAAAAATAGGGCTCAAAAGAACATATACTTAGGAATGATAGGCACACAAACAGGGGCCAGTTAAGATCAGATTTGGGGGAGGCCACCAAGCAGAATAAGGAATTGACCATAGGAACATTGTAGAACAGCTACATTTGAAGGGATTGTCACAAATCCTAAAAGTCTAAGCTCAGAATTACTCTAGAGTAAAATTATGATACATGCTAGGGACTATTCCTGTTAAAGGCTTATCTCTCAAAGAGTCTTGAGTTCCACTTCTTGATATCTGAAAATGAAACGGAAACACTTTTTTCATCTATATTAATCAATCAAATGAAGTAGCTCAGCCAAACAGGGAAGTGTTTCCAACCTTGGACATCATGACTGAGAGAAGTGTCAAAGGGCTCTAATAAGATCTTCAAAATGTCATACCAAAGCTGGGTGTCCTGTGATAACTACAGGTCTTTCAAAGGACACGAGGCATTCAAGAGGAATCCCTCCCAAAGGTTTCTTTCACTAAAGAGAAGGCTGGAGAAGGGAAGCCTTTGCCCTTCCCCCAATAGCCACTTTTCATCTTTCTCTTCAGGCTCAGAGGCAGGGATTGAACAGGGGACACTAGGCAAGAACTTGACTGGCCTGGGAAGGCTGGAATGAGAGGAATGGAACAGTTCACAGTTGAACTAGAAATGATTTCCCCAAATGCTAATCCCCCGGCCTAAACACAAGATTTGAACAAGCGAAAGTTGTCTTGCTCTCCCGCCCCCCAGCTAATGGCCTCTCATCCTTGTCTTCCTCTCCTGGCCCCTCAGGAAGGCATCACTCACAACTCCTCTGCTGTCTGCAGATGTCTTCTCTCCACCACTGACTGCTTGTTCTGACTGTTCTCCTACATCCTCCTGTCCCATCAAGATGCCATTTTCTAAATGCAGAAAAACATCAATTTGTGTCAATGAGATCACAGCACCTTACATTATAGACTATTACACAGATGGCTTTCAAAGCACTTATATGCACAGCACTGTTTTTATGAAGCAGGTAGGGCAAGCTTCATCCCCAGTTTATAGGTGCAGCAAACTAGGCTCAAAAAGATAACTAGAAAGGTTAGTAGGTAAGGGTTGAGTCAGGCCTCTAACACAACTTGACTTTCAAAGTATATTACCTTTTAAAGAATAGCATTTAATAAACACCTGATGAACTGAATTTATGTAACTTGTGAAGGAATCACATTTTGAGTAAGTGGGGCTTCCCGTGTGCTTGGCTTTCTGAAACAGCACTGGTCTGCTTGGGCCCTTAGAGTATAGGGAATTAGCACAAAATTGGCACGGCACCCTCTTTCTTTCTAGCTTTTTTAAGAGGATGGGTTCAAGATGAAGGGCCGTGAAATCTAAGAAAGGTCATTTCTTGAGTGATTCAGTGAGAAAATCAAATGCAAAAGTTAAGCACCATGAAACGTGAGTTCTAATCTCAACTCCACCATTCATCTGCTGTGCGACCCCAAAGAAGTTACTTAATCTTTCTTGGCCTCAGTCTCCTCAAGCGTAAAAAGGGCAATAATAGGATTTGTTTAATAGAATTTCGGGGAAAACAAAATGAAATTACATAAGCTAAATATTTACCACAAGACTCAAATTTGTCTGAACATCAGAATCATTTGGGGAGCATCAAAAAACACTCATTACTTGTGTTCTACCTCCACATGCTGTGATTTAGTTGGTCTGGGATGTAGCTTGGGCTCTATAATTTTTCAAAGATCCCCAGGTAATTCTAATGTGCAACTAACTTTGGGAACCACTGACTTAGCACAATCAGAATTAAATAAATGGCAACTATTATTTTATTGAATCCCCTCACCAACATAACTGGGAGACTCGTCAGGTTTAGTTCAAGGAGCACATAGGCCCTTAGGGTCGAAGAGTGACTATTTCCTCCCCAAAATATATAATTAGTTATGGTAAAATTGGGGAGATGGGGTAGGGAAATGCTCACTACAACGTATCTAAGGGTACGAACATTTCTGTACCCTTAAATTGCAAAGAGTGAGGGAGGATAAAACCATCTCTTTCATATTGAAGGTTTTCAATAACAGCAAAGGCTATGTCCCAACTAAAAAGTTACGTTAAGACGCAAAATGTGTAAAGCCAAAGAGCACCAAGGTGGAAAGTAAGGACAAGGGATCTGAGGAATCAAAGGCCACACATTTCACTACAATCAAAAAACAATGTTAGTTCTGCAAGTTAATGCTTAAAGGAGTCAATGCCCGTTTCACTGACACGATCCCCTAAACGAGATGTTTCTGGAGCCTGCCTGGTTGAGTACACCATTACTGTGTGAGCTGCCAGGACTTACAAAGCACTAACACGAACGATGCCTGCCCACAAAGAACACACAACTTATCAGGGAAAACCCTCCACGATCATCCGCAAAGAGAAAACGAAAGGAAGAAAAGATCTAAAAAAGGCGCGGGACGTCCGAGGCGCTGGATACCCGGGGCTGCCGCCGTGAGCGCGGGCGGCGCCGGGGGCTCGGCCTCCGGTTCCCGCAGGTGCCCCGCGTGCTTCTGCAAGGCCCACCCGGCCCGCTCCCGGCCCGCTCCCTGCCCGCCCAGGCGCCGCTCACACTGCAAGATGATCTCCTCGAACGCCTGCCTCTGCAGCCGGTCCCGGCGCCTCAGTTCCTCCGAGATGTGGCGCTTCCAGCGGGGGAAGTCGGCGGTCCGAGCGCCAGACATGTCGCTCGCTGCCCCGGCGCTTCAGGGCCGCCAATCGGAACTGAGGCTGGCAGCCGCGGCCCGCAGCATGAGGCGACCAGGGGGTGCGGAAAGGCCGGCAGCCCCAGAGCTCACCTCCGCTTACTGCCCGCCCTCGAGGCCATCCGGGCCGGTCTTCCGGCTCCTGCCGGAAATGGTTTTGGCGTGGGCCGGAAGGCCCGCCTCCTCACCCGACGCCTTGCGCCCTACGCACGCGACTGCTGCCAACGCAGGGCGCTCGCTTGGGGCGCTTGTTAGTGGCGTCTGCTCCGAGGTCGGAAGCGTCGTGGGGCAGAGAGGCGACCGCTGGGAGGCGTCCTAACCGCGCAGGAGGCCCAGCCTTGGGCGGGAAGCAGGCGGGAGAGGGAGCGCTCCCGCCCGCTTCCTTGGGTTTCTTTTGCTGCTTTTCGTATTTTCCTTCTTGGCAGCTCTTTTCTTCTTCTCCTCAGAAGTGGGGTTCGCTCCCCCATAGTAGCTGTGTGGCTGTGGATGAGTGACAGCCTTCCTAAGCCTCAGTTTTCTCATCTGTAAAATGGGAACAGAAATACCACCTACCTCACAGTGTTGTCGTGAGGGTTAAAAGGAAAAACCTATGTAATGCAGTTAGCACCGTGCTTGGCGCATCGTTGGCCTAACTTTACTGACACGCCCGGTTTTCTTCCAAGGCCTACCCAAAGTCTTGTTGCTTTAACAAGAGCATCCCACGGACCTTGGAACCAGGTGTTTTGTTTTGTTTTGATTTGTTGTTTTGCAGTGAAGTGGAATGCAAACAGGAGCTAAAGAGAGATGTGAGTAGTGTATCAGAGTTTGTCTGTATTAATCATTAGCATCCTAGAAATTATGACCTAACAGTAAATGGGTCCTTAGAAGGTAATTTAATGCCAGTAGATGTTGAAAGGGGGAGGTGGAAGACGCACAGGCTCCTGAGAAAATGGCATCTGTCAACAACTCAGTAGAATGGAAAACCTGGGTCTGTGATGGAGTTGTCTGAGCTCCATCTGCCTTTAACAGGAGTATGAATTTACTGCATGAAAATGGAACTGGACAAAGTAGGCCAGGGGAGAGGAATGTCAGAAACTGCCTTCTTTTCCAGTGCGTCTCAAGTCCAGAGGAAGATCCTTCAGAGATAGATAAGAAAGCCTTTCCTCTGCCATGGAGCTGAGGAGGAGGACAATCAGGCTTCTACAGATATTTTGTTGTAAGTATGGAGTGACCTGAAGTCGTTGGAAGGACCCATGGGGATCAGAACTAGAAGTGACTTCCTCACACTCGGAAGAAAATGAAGAAGCAAGTTTGAAAGTCACCAAGAATGTAACAATGGCCCCAACCCCAAAAGACCATAGCTCACAGTATCAAATCTTGATAGCTGAGCATGCTGTTTTCTAGATAATATTATGATTAAAATATGTTTACAAAGTTGCCTAACCAGCAATTCCTCTTGCAGGAATTTATGCCGAGAAATATTTGGACACATGTATATATACAGAAAGTTTTGTAATAGCATTATTAATAGCAGTGTAAAGTTGGAAGCAATCTATATTTCCAACAACAAGGGATTGGGTAAAGTACTGTATATTTATTGTTGAAAATTATTCCTAGTAAAAGCAGGATACAGTATAAATCCAATTTATGTAAAATGAGTGTGTCTCTAGCTCTTCATAGACAAATATTTGTTGAATGAAGTATTTCTTTTTTTTTTTTTTTAACATTTAAACTTTATTTTTTTAAAGATGACCAGCAAGGGGATCTTAATCCTTGACTTGGTGTTGTCAGCACCACGCTCTCCCAAGTGAGCCAACTGGCCATCTCTACATAGGGATCCGAACCCATGACCTTGGTGTTATCAGCACCGCACTCTTCCAAGTGAGCCACAGGCCGGCCCTGAATGAAGTATTTCTAAATTAAGGATATACTGGGCCGGCCCGTGGCTCACTTGGGAGAGTGCGGTGCTGATAACACCAAGGCTACAGGTTCGGATCCTATATAAGGTTGGCCGGTTGGCTCACTGGCTGAGCGTGGTGCTGACAACACCAAGCCAAAGGTTGAGATCCCCTTACCGGTCGTCTTTTAAAAAAAATAAAAATAAAAAATAAATTAAGGATACTAAGTTCTGCTAGGTCTGTCCTCTTCCTAACTCGCCAGCTTTATCCAGCACACAACTGCAGCTGCATTGAACCCTCTTCCTTCCACTCACCATGCTCCCTCCCACTGTAGGGCCTTTGGATTTACTGTGTGTTGGGCACACTCTTCCGTTCTGATTTCTCTGAGTTAATTTCTGTGAGTTGATTTTCAGGTCAGTAGTCACATCTTCACAACCTTCGGATAACAGACCTTTACCACTAAGTCCAATCTACCAAGTACACATGTACCTCTCCTTGAGGGCACTTATCACAATTGCAGTTTCACATTTATTGGTATCATTACTTGATTAAGGTCTGTTTCCTCCCACTAGACTGTAAACTCCATGAGGCAAGAGCCAGTCTGTTTTTGCTCATCATTATATCTCCAGAAAGAGCATGAAGCCTTTTATATATTAGGTGCCCAGTATATGTTGTTTAATTAATAAATGGAATATGTGAAAATACTAGTAGTATTTCTGGGCAGTGGTATTTCTAGTGTTTTTGTTTTCTTATGGGTGTATCTTATACGCATTTTCTAATTGGTAAATATTATACATATATTATGTATGCAAGAAAAAGTTCTAGAAATGAACATGTCATTATTGGTAAAACCAATTATTCATCTGGGTACTAGGCTCTGTGGGCAATAACTAATAAGCAGGAACACTTCCACAACACTATGGGCCATGAACTCTTCTGAGTCTTTCACATGTTATAACTCATTTACTTCTCATAGCCATCCTACTCATAAAGGATATTGTTTGTTAGTTACTGTTAGTGTCTTCATCCCCATTCACAGATGAGGAATCTGAGGCATGGAGAGGTTAAGTAACATGTCTGAGGATGCTGGACTGGTAAATGGCAATTTGATTCTAGCATCTGTGACCTTAACTCCATTATTGTCCAGCCTCTGTTCCAGCTGACATTGCAGTTTGGCTCAGCTAGACTACATAAAACAGAATAATTTAAAATGATATGTAATTCATTCCTAAATTAGCCAATAGGGACAGCTTCCTGATAAAGAGTAAAGTCAGTAATGGGGAGGCTTCAGGTGTGTTCACAGGCCCTGAGGGGAATGACTGGATGGGGGATGACTAGACTACATAAAACAGAATAATTTAAAATGATATGTAATTCATTCCTAAATTAGCCAATAGGGACAGCTTCCTGGTAAAGAGCAAAGCCAGTAATGGGGAGGCTTCAGGTGTGTTCACAGGCCCTGAGGGGAATGACTGGATGGGGGATGAGTAAGAGGAAGGAGGACGAAATAAGGTCTTCTGAATGTACTGGTGACAGATAATGGATCTTAAGAGTCTTTGTTCTGGTAAATGATGAGTGTCTAAAGGATTCAGCATGATTTGCTGGGAAGCAGCATCTGTGAAATGGATTCTGACCTCCTATAATGGATGTAAGATAAGTGTAGAATATTCCAAGATTCTTGTAGCAATATATTAAACAGCACAAGTCTGCTCACAGGAAGAGTAGAAGAGGCATCACTTATCAAAGAATGTTCTTTATGGAAAGTTTAGTTTCGCTGAAACAGAGTACCACCAGCTTTAATGTAACTGCATTTCCATGGCAGCATTTCCATTGCTAAAAACTTTGAGATTCTCACCTTCATCATCGATGTCTGCACATCTCAACTGTGAGATCCTCTAGTTATGCTCCAATTTGGAAGAATTCAAGGTCCAACCTTCAGTTATCCTATGTCTTCTTTTCCTTGCCCCATTGATCTTCCTGATTTCCTTTATCTTTCAATCAGCAAGTGAAAAAAAAGTTCAGTCCCAGGTGGGCTGGGCACAGGAGGGAGCACCACATGGGAGACAAACACACCCCATGCTTGGATCCTGACATCATGGAGCTTGCTGTCTAGGAAGGGAGATCTGGACATGTATTATTATTATTATTTGAACGTGTATTATTGATGGTTGTAAGGAATATAAGATACAAACAGCCGGCCAGAAGGTAGTACCAAGGGCTTTGATTCTCTTGTTCTTTTATTCTCTTATTTTTATTTATTTCTTAAATATTGTTTTGTGGTTTTTAAAAAAATTCTCACTTTCTTTATTTCCAGTCCTTTTCAGCTCTTCCCAAAATTGTATCACTAAAAGTGAAAATAAACTAAGTTAACTTTGTCAACTGTCTACTGTATAAACCTAGTAGCTGCCTGAGTAAACCAAAGCATAATCAAGAAACCTACCAACGTAGGTTTTCAGACATACCGATGATCCCTCCAAACATCATTTTTTTTTTCTAAGACTAGTCAAGTCCAATAGTGAGAAGCAGGGAAAGAGTAGAACAAGAAGTTCGATCTGCAACTGACTGTGAACAGCAACTGAGATAACTCACTACCATCGGACCAGCCCCAAACTTTTTTTATATGACAATAATGATCCTCCCTTATAGGCAAACATCACTGGACATTTTTACCCCTTGGCTTTTCTTTGTAATCTTAAGTGTTATGGCTTTCATATATTTATGCACACTGCAGGAAATTTTCGTTATAAAGAATCTCTGTGCACACAGGTTAAATCACATGCAGGTCATGTCATTCACTCCATATGTATGTTGACACTCATTTCATATTTTTAAATTGTCTGAGGCGGTGTTATTATCCTTATACTCCAATACAAGTATTTTAGTAACATTCAACTTTCTTAGAGGAGGTCCTTGTTATCTCCTTCATATACTGGCAGCTGGAGTGTCTGGAATGCTGACAGAGGATTCAATGTGGCACTTCTAACAAACTGGGAATAGGATCCCTGGTAGGGGCGGGGGCTATCTCCCTTGGTTTGTTTCTTTGATCTTTAAAGAGGTGATAAATTTTCTCCTAGGCACTACTGCCTTCTCCCACTAAGAATAATAATTAACATTTATTGAGTGATTTTTACATGTCAGACATCGACATCTTATTATTTTATTATTATTTTACATGCCAAGCACTGACTGGATCAACTTATTCAATTCTCACAACGT